TAGAAGACTAGAAATTCAGGATCAAGTTTCAGCAGGCCTAAGTCTCTCTTCTTGGCTTGCAGATGGCCATCTTCTGTTTGTATTCCCACGTGGTTTTTCCTTTGTACCCAAGCATCTATGGTAATTCTTTTTTGTCTACAAATTTCCTCTTCTTACAAGAACACCAGTAAGTTTTGATAAGGGCCCACTCTAAAAGCCTTGTTTTTACTTAATCACCTCTTTAGAGTACCTGTCTCCAAATACAGTCACATTCTGAGATTCTGGGAGTTAGTGTTTCAACATATGAATTTTGGGAAGACAGTTTAATAACTTAACAATAAATTAACAGTTTGAGTTTAACATAATGATGAATTATGACTTAGGAAGAAGCATAGCCTTAGCCCATGTAACACTGTTGTATATCATCGCTATGAAAGGTCTGGTGTCTTAGTGATTTTAAAACAGTGTTTCCCTGAGTCTCGGGCAGTGAATTAGGAGGGCTATGTAGACTGTGTCCATGGTTAGGCGGAGATGGTGATGGGTTTCGGCTCTCAGACCTGTTGGACACAGATGGGCCACACCAGGGGAAGTGCTAAATTGCTTGTAAATTCACTGGCACTCCAATACTCTATCCATGTCTGGAAATAAATGAACACAGAGTCTGTGATCATATTAACTCAACCAAACATTTGGCTAGGAATATCAGACAATAAAACTGAGTAATTAAAATAAAAATTGTTCTAGAATTCCTGGAATGCACAGCAGTTGCTCCTTTTCTTAAATGTCTATGGCCTGACACAATGGTGTTCACAGCACACCCCTCTTTATATTGGGGCTGCTTTCTCTAGATGGGCTTCAAAACTGCTAATACACGAATTACTCATATTTAGACATTTGTTCTTTTAGGTGCCAGACTGTTTTCTTTTGGAATGTATTTTTGTGTGATGCAATTTGACACCTAAATCTTAGCATTAACTTTTAAAGGATGAATGTTGATATATTGGTTCTCTTTTTTTAAAAAATAATTTCCTGTATGATAAAGTAATTACTACCTACTGTGTTCCAGGCACCACACTAAGTGCTATTAATGTAGCGATGAAGTTACATTGTCTTCATCAAGGGTATCATAATCTAATTTAAAGTATTTTTTCCTCTTGTAGACATACCTTCTTCCATGTATAAAGGCACCTAAAATGTTGTACAGCTTAATTAAGCTTAGTATCTTTCTTGTTTTACTCAATCTCAGTTTATAGCTGTTGTGGATTAAATAATGGCCCTTCAAATATGTCCACATCCTGATCCCCAAAACTTGTGAATGTTTCCTTGTAATGCTAAAACATTTTTAAACATGTGATTAAGGATCTTGATATTGGGAGATTATCCTGGATCATCCTGGTGAACCTGCTACAATCACAGTTGTTGTCATGAAAAGAAATAAAGACGGTTCAAAGAAGAAGAGAAGGTAGCAAGGTGATAATGGAAGCACAGATTGGAATGAGTCACTTTGAAAAAGGAGGAGGGACCCCAAGCTAAGGAATATAGGCAGCCACCAAAAAGCAGGGAAAGATTCTACCTTCAGAGTACCCAGAAAGAACCAAACTTGCTGGCACCATGACATTAACTCAGAGAGACCATTTTTGAACTTCTGACCTCCAGAATTGCAAGAGAATAAAATTGTGTTATTTTAAGCCACTAAAGATTGTGGTACTTTGTCATAGCAGCAATAGGAAACTAACAGAATCACATTGATAATCACCAGTACACTTAAAAGCATTTATCTACATTCTTCTTTACAATCTGCTCCCATATACTATTACCACTGTTATTAATTTATCCATCTTAATTAATTGTAATCCTTTCTTCCCTATTTGCGTCACGCCCTTAATTTAGAAACTTGACATTCCACTTGAAATACTATGGTCAGTTTCCAAATGGTATCTCTGTTCTCAACCTCACTCCTTCCAAACTGTTCTCCAGACTGTTTCCAAAATTGTCCCATAAAAGTCAAATATGAACTATTTTCTTCTTAAAATCCTGTGATACCTCATGAGCTTCCTTCCTCTTTGCCAAACTCCTATTCACGCTTCAAGAAGCAATTTAAATATCTTCTTTTCTTTGACTGTTTCCAGAGACATAAATGTTTCCATTGTCTTCTGTGTTTCAAAAGCATCTTGAATATATTTTCTTGAAATACCCTTTTGTATCTATCGAGACAGATAGATATAGACATAGATGCATTCCAGGACTTAGCATCCTGTCTGTTATATTATTGTACATAAACAGAAAGACTCAAAAGGATAATTAATAAAATATATTAACTGCAAATTCCTTCTGGAGATGATAACACTATAAAATATGTGCTGCTAATAGGAGAAAAGAAACAGTGAAAAAATACAAAGGGGTATTTTCAAAATATGTTTTTCATAAACAGCAAAGGCTTTAGAGGAGATATGTTAGAATGCCTAGAAAATGTAAAGGAAACACAGTATGCAAAGATTTACACATGTATGTAGGCATATCAGGGAAGGGACTAGAGAACAGGAAGATAAATTCAATAATAGTTAACATCCATTGTGTGCTTACCATGAGCCGGTACTGTTCTAAGGGCTTTCATGTTAATTCACTAAACAGTCCTTTGAGACAGCTGTTGTTACTAACCACTTTTAAAGTTGTTGTGAAGACTGAGCACAGCATTAATACAACTAGGAAGGGATTTGAACTTGGAAAGTCTGTTTCCACAGCTTGTTTTCTTATCCAATATTTTTTACTATCTCAGCTGGTAGGTTTTCCACTGCTGCTGGATAGGCTGTTCCGAAGGTGACCTAGGTCAAGCCATGACAGCCAAGGTGGCCCAAGCTCATCTTCAGAGATGTTCACTGGATGTTGTTGTTCTTATTTTTCAACTCCAAACTCAGCCTGTAATTCTCACCAATTTCAAATCTGTGATCACTTAAGTCTATAATCGCTATCGGTGATATCTCTAACACATCCCAGCAATTCTTAAACATGTCTATCCTTATTGTCAGGACTCCTAATTCCATGAGTGATTATTAATGCAGGGAGAGAGATGAGAAATCACCTTTGGGGATATAATTAAGAAGTGAGTAGGAAGCAGGCAGAGGAAGATGAAGTAATGACAGAGATTGTGTTGTGAGTAACATAGATATTTCAATAGGATATGCCCGAGTTTTAAGTGTGTGAATTTTCGATGCTTCTCTTTATCCTCCATTGTGTCATATAGCATGAATCACCCACATGAGTGGGTCATCAAATCAATTTTTGGATAACAATCAGCATTTGATAAAGGAAAATAGAGTAGAATGGAACAGAAGAGCATAATATATACCACAGCACAGCATAGGAATATTTGCATAAATCTGTATAAGTCATTTCACACTTTGCAAAAATTACTGCAACAAGTGGTAACTCACAGTGCCAGCGAGCCAATTAGTAGAAGGAGTACACTGAAGGTGCCCACTGGGTAGAATGGGTTGTTTTGTCTTTTAAAATTAACGTCTTATTTGATTTTTTGGCCTGGGAGAATCACTTTGATCATCACTGTAAAGAAAGGGCACACTTTATTTTATATTAACATAATTATTAGTTAATTGTGAGATGAAGCCAGGAATTATTTTTGTATCATGAATAAAAGTATTGAGATTTTCAGTCAAGTTTCAGGCTGCAAAATTAGACTGTTTTTCAGAAAGAACATTATCAAATTTGCAACTATAGCATTTTAGTAGATTTAATACTAATTGCCCTTAAAATTAACTGATATATTATTAAAAAGAAAAAATTATGAATTTAAAAATGTAATCCTGGCTAACACGGTGAAACCCGTCTCTACTAAAAAACTACAAAAACTAGCCGGGCAAGGTGGCGGGCGCCTGTAGTCCCAGTTACTCGGGAGGCTGAGGCAGGAGAATGGCACAAACATGGGAGGCAGAGCTTGCAGTGAGCTGAGGTCCGGCCACTGCACTCCAGCCTGGGCGACAGAGCGAGACTCCGTCTCAAAAAAAAAAAAAAAAAAAAAAAATTGTAGATGTATGTTTTAGTTCAACTGAAGGATTTCAAAATGTAAATAGTGAAAACATTGAGAAAAATACTGACAAATGAGCAACAGTGTCAAATTTAGGCAAAAGTTTTAAAATGAAAAATTTAGTACAAATCATGAAATGTAAGATACTCAAAATCATTTTAATCAAATATGAATAATCCAATGAAAATGACGCCTGTGTTTATGTAATGATAATTTGCAAATAAAACCTTAAAACTTTCAAAATTAAAATACTTGGAAATAAAGGTTATTGTACTTAGCATGTCTTTTAATTATTTGTAAGGAAGGAAAAATATAAATTCATTGGCACAATGTCTTTTTCATTTGGCTTTTTAATTTTGTTTTAATTTTTTTAAGTCTGTCTTGCTCTGTCACCCAGATGAGAGCACAGTGGCATGATAATTCCAGTCTTGATCTGCTGGGCTCAAGTGATCCTCCTGCCTCAGCCTTCCGCTACAGGTGTGCACCACCATTCCCATTCCCAGCTAATGTTATTTTATTTGTTAATTTGTAGAGACAAGTACTCATTACATTTCCCAGGCCGAACTTGAACTCCTGAACTTAAGTGATCCTCCTACCTTGGCCTCCCAAAATGCTAGGATTCCACAACCTTTAATAAAAAAATACTGTTGCATAGTTACAGCATCATTGTGTGTTTAAAAAAATAGCACTTATAACTGAAAACTATGTTACCGTGTATAGATGCCATAGTGTGTGTGTGTGTGTATTTTTTTTTTGTTTTTGTTTTTTCTGAGAGGGAGTCTTGCTCTGCTAGCTCTTGTTGCCTAGGCTGGAGTGCAGTGATACGATCTCGGCTCACAGCACGCTCTGCCTCCCAGGTTCAAGCAATTCTGCCTCAGCCTCCTGAGTTGCTGGGATTACAGGCGCATGCCACCACACCCGGATAATTTTTGTATTTTTAGTAGAGACATAGTTTCGCCTTGTTGGCCAGACTGGTCTTGAACTCCTGACCTCAGGTGATCTGCCTGCCTCAGCCTCCCAAAGTTCTGGGATGACAGGCGTGAGCCACCATTGCTGGCCTATTTTTAAGAACAAATTATCTGATAGAAATAAAACCTTTTTTTTATACCATATCCCATTTTGTAACTTTTAGAAACAATGACTGCTGTATTGATACAGTCCAGTATAAATAGGCAAATCAACCTGATGTGAGAAATGACATTCAAGAGTGTGTAAAAATGCTAGTTAATGGGAAATGGTAAAATGGCTTTTGGAGGGTATGTGATGTAGTTAAAATTTGATTAAATGTTCTTTGGAATTGGATAAGAGTATTGTTGATCAATATAAATGACACTGGTAAAATGACATATGAATTACAATTGAGAGAGCAAAAAATGTGACTAGGAAATTTTCAGAAGCTACTAATAATGAGCTCTTTGAAGTCACTTGCTAAATTCATCTTAAAGCTTTGATATCCAAAGAAATTTAGCTGCCTTTCAGGGATGGGGAAAGCCAGTGAAAAATGTTTGTTTTATTAAAGGAAGCTCACTGAAATGTTTTTGATATATTTTGTCCAGAGATTGGTGCTATGCATATCCATATTTTCTATCATCTTAGATTGTCATGACCAGCAGTACTAAGCAAAGGTGTCTAAGAATCAAGATACAAGATTCACTTTTTGGTTATTGTTGGAGAATAATCTCACATAGTAAGTAATTTCTAAGATAATATTTGGGTTAAAATGGCAGATTTAATAAACTAGGAAAGCAAAGAAAAAACCAAAATGCATTTCAATATGTTGACCATATCCAAGGGTGATAGTGTAGTATTTTGATATTTAATTTACAGAAATACTCTGAAATAAGTATTGCCATCCTGCTTTCTTAAGTAAATTGTCTAGAGGTCGTATGAGTTAGCCCAGCTCTGCTACCATGGAGCAAGTAAAGTTGTAGAGATAAGATCTGAACTCAGGTCGAATAAGGCTCTGAAAGCTATGTTAAGGCCTCTCACTGCCCTCCCTCTGTAAGTAAGAAATGTGAGAAAACCAAGATTTACTCATTAAGTATGCCCTACTTTGATATATTTTCCCGGATTAGAGGAACAGATAGCTATTATTGGTGGTTTCTGTTGTTTTCATGGTTACTGTTATTATTATTATTGCTAATGCCTACCTATTTCCCCTATCAAATGAATCAGGAAGCTTTGTCCAGTCCCTCTTAATTAAATGCAGTGAGAGAAATGGGATATCAATCCAATATATAGGGCTCAGCTTGTCCTGAGAGTCAGGGTGCCTAGAGAATATTTGATATGCCATGAGTTGCAGTGTCATAATGGGCCCTGAGTTAGTGTTTTGTGTATAGTGTTCATGGTAGAGTCCTGTCTCTTCTCAAATAAGTATGTGTAATATGGGATATTACAGTAAGTAGACATAAGTGCTTGTTTTTATTGTTAGAAGGCTGATAAGGAACAGAGAACTTGTGGTCTTCACAGCCCACATTAAGGAATGCAAGTTCTATTTAAGTACAATGGTGAATCAATGATGGATTTGCAAGCCCGGATGTACTTTTTTTTTTTAAGAAAAAGAAAAACCTTTGTTTTTGCATAAAAAAAGGCTGGGTAGAAGAACAGAGTTAAGGGTAGGAGGCCAGTTAGGAGACTGTTGAAGTAATGCAAGTGAGACGTTGTATTGGAATGGTTTAGGGTGGTTGGAGCAGAAATGAAATTACACTCTCTAGGTATAGCGGAGGTAGAATTAATCAAATAGGACATCTGAATATATTAGATGGGGTGAGGGAAAATGGACTAATCCAAGATAACCCTTATTTCTGGCTATAGGAATAGGATATTGTCATTGACTACATTGGGAGACTTCGAGTACAGAGAGATTTTTTGGATGGTGGAAAATTAAGGGTTCTATTGGAGGTACACGTTAGAAAACTAAGTGAACTCGCTAATTATACAGTTGGAGATTAAAGCAAAAGGGTTATCAGTCTATAGATGGTTAGTGTATAGACATCTAGTATGAGATCACCTAGGAAAAGATATAGATGGTGAAGAAAAGAGGACCCAGTCCCATACCTTAAAGTACACTGACATTAAGAAACTGAATAGAGAAAGAAGAAATAGCAAAGAAACCCAAAAGTGACCGTGATGCAGAGACAGAATCAAGGAGAGATTTGAGGTTTACTTACTGTATTAAATGTGGAGAATTTGAAGATGAATCTAAAAAATATTTATCTGTTTTCTCCAAGGGAATATTTGTATGGTTCATTTTTGAAGTCATCGGTGTTGTTTTATGTGAGAAAACTGGTTTCATCGGTTCTTTAGATGACTTACTGTCATTTTTGGATTTGAGGTCATAGGAGCGCAGAGGCAAAACTGCTCAGTAGGAAGCGTCAGTCGTGTCAATACTGCTGTGAGGTTGAGTAGAAAGATGAGAAGTGAGGATTTTTTCTTTTGGTGACCAACATGTTATTGATGGCCTTGAGAAAAATGCAACTCTGGAGATATGTCTGCAGAAGCTGGACTGTAGTGGGTGAAAAAATGGACAGGAAATGAAAAAATGGGAAAAGAATCTCTCCAGAAGGTTGACTATGAAGAGGAGTGGAGAAAGGAAGTATAAATTAGGATAAGGCTAATTGTTCAAGGGGCAAATTTTTTTCAGTAGGAGTATTATAGATCATTTGTCAAACTTATGGGACTGATGCTGGAGAAAGTTTGAAGAGGCCAGATATACAGAGGGGAATGTTTGGATGGTCCTTGAAAAGGTGTTTGCGGCAGAGTTTGTAGTCCAAGAAGTGATTGTCCGTATCTTTACTCTTTAGATCTCAGTGTTCTCATCTGTAAAACAGTGGAGTAGCTGTGGATTATTTCCCAGCTTCTTTGTGACTTGAATATTCTACAAATTTATTACTGTTAGTCATGCATATGCTATTAAGCAGTGATGAACATGGGAGATGTATCCTGAGGCTGTTTACTCTCATATTAAATGTGGAGAATTTGAGGATGAATCTAAAAGATATTTAAGTCTATTTTCTCCAAGGGAATATTTTTATGGTTCATTTATGAAGTCATCTGTATTGTTTTATGTGAGAAAACTGCTTTCATCGTTCTTTAGATTACTTATCCTCTTGTAGAAACTGTAACTTTTTTGAAGTTTGAGGCTGCAACATATTCACATTAGTTTTATTATTTTAATCTTATTTTCACTGCTTTTGCCATCTAACCATAAGATACTGGTGCAGTCAGGAGAATTAAGATAAATTTATTAACAGCAATAAGTATCATGAAGACATACCCATTTCAGAGGTATGTTAATGACCATATTTTTTCCTCTACTTTGCTGGAAAGTTTTCGATGGAATTCCCAGAAAAGAGACTTATAGCAGCCATATAAATAACAATTACAGAGAGTATTATTGGTATTTATGCTGAAATACCTTTTATATTGTCTTTAATGCTTGAGTAGAAATTAGCTGAGTCATATTTGTCAAGATAACTTTTTCCTCTTAAGAAAAATCCCATTGCTAAAAATTTAAAGAAAATAAACCTGATATTTTCTCCCTACTAGTAAAATACAAGTTTACATATTAATTAGTCTCTTGCTTTGCAAATGTTAAATTGGTTGAAATGAGTCAAATTGGCAATTTGTTTGGAACACAATGTGTGTGAGAAGCTGAGTCAAAAATTTGAGAAGCCTCCATTGCCCTTTTCAACTTACATGGTATTTATTTGTGCAAAGGAAAGACACATCAGGTGTGTCGACATTGGCTGAAACCTATGTCCATGGAACCAGGAAGAGTTGGGCATGGGAGATAGCTGGTTGACAGAAACTTTCAAACTGATATTTCGGTGTTAATTATTGTCTTCAATATGTACATTGTTTCCAAGAATCATATTTTGCTTTATTAAATGGATGCATTATTATAATTTGTTAATATCTTGGATCCTTTTTTGTTCAGAAAATGGTTATTATTATCTCAAAAACCATAGGATTGGAGAAAGATTATGTGATATAACAAGTATAAATTGTAGATCATAGAACTTGGCACCTAGTGAGCACTGCACCTCAAAACTCATGCTCAAAGGCTGTTAATGAGATCTGAATCTGGTGGTTTTACAGACTACAAAACCACAATGATTGGTGAATACATGAGTCTGTGGTAGAATATTAATGTGGAAATAATCTGGAGTGTATACACGGTGTGGGTCCCCCAAAGGCATGGATTATTGAAGGCATAATTAACCAACCTTCCTTACTCAGAAAGTAGAAATGGCAAGTTAGGGTTTTTAAAATGTAAAAGTATATTTACCAGTTCTGTGATGAGATTTTTTTTTTAATCCAAACAAAAACAAAACAAAACGAAAACCACATATGATTTAGCTTGTTTGGATTGCTATTTGATGGTATTTAATAATAATAGAAATAATTACCTCTGAACAAAGTTGAGTATACATTTCCTGTTACTTTTATCTTAAGAAAAATAATATCTATCACCCATTAATATTTTAGAGAGGTAGCTCTTTATTCTCCAGAGAAAACTATGTAAATTCCCAAGAACGAATAATTTCCATAATTATTAAACAAACAATATATCATAGTTTCTGAGCATTAGTCACAGAAAAACTCCTGAGATTAGATTGAGACAAAGTGTCATGCTTTGCTTTTTTATTTTACTTGACTAGGATTCTCTTTTTAGAAACATACCTATTGTATTATTATTTTCAAGCAAAGAAAACAAAATTCCACTGTAAGTTGGGTTCTTTTACTCTTAATATAAGCAAAAACTGCCATTTTTTCATTACTGTAAGCTGATTGAAAATTGAAACTGTGAACAATCTAGCTGTTCCAGATAATATTTTTAAAAATAAAATTTTTTTTTCTTTGAGTATATGTTTTACTTATCAGAACTCACTAAAGGATTATATGTGGAAGGAATGTTGGTTTGTGATTTAGAACAACATTTTTTAGAGATATTTGCATTTGCAACATAATGGAAGTTGATCTCGCAGTTGCAATTGTCAGTAACTGTCTGCTGTGCTTGAGACTATCCGCCATTGCTCATTTCTCACTCTGCACTCATGGGGAGGTGGAAGAACACTGGCCATGTGTCCTTTGGATGGGCATAAGAAACATATATAAATAGATATGTTATAAATAGATAGTTTCAAGTAAATAACGTGTTCTCTTAAGCTCACAATGATGACTTTTATAATAAATAATTTCTACCATAACAAATGGTTTCTTTGCATTATTGCAAATACAGATTTCAGCAATAACTGTTTTAGGTTCCTTTTCTAACACCACGGATGAGGTAGAATGACTCTCTTTGTCCTCTCTTTCAGAGGTCTCTCCTGTCACCCCCTCTTTTTCTGTCTTCCTATTTAGCTTAGGCTCTCTCACCCCACTGTCACAGCTGTACTGTGATCCAATATAGACATTCTCTGTATGATAGCAACTCCTACTGAGTGCCAGCAGATATGAATCCTGCAAGATGCCCAAAGAATAAAAGAAATGTATGGTCAACAGTTTAGCCATCTTACAGGGTCAGGATTCCATTTATATATTAAAATCTTTGTGAGACTTGCAGTAATGAAACCTGTGATTAATCTCTACTTCCCCAAATTACCTTATCATGAAATCTGTGTTTTAGAATAGATATTTCTAGTCTGAGAACCTAGTTATATTGGAATACTTTGGGAAATGTCA